TTAAGTATGGCTAGCCAACCTATGAAGCTATGCTTAGGGATAGCATGAGGAAACCAAACAAGTTTATGCCATACCTTCCTGGGCTGCTTATGTCTTAACCAATGCCAAGTCTGACCAGTTTGGAAAGATGCAGATGGGGAGGTCAACCAAATAACTGAATCATTTTCACCCTCCCTAGGATGAATATCAAAAAGAGGTATTTGAATTTCCATCAATTGGGGAGATCTAGCACGAGGCCAATTCCAAAATCTACCAGTTATAACACTGGCTAGTTTAGCTTGGGAAGGTATCCCTGAATCATGAACAATAGAGTTTCCATAAACTTCTAATAGTGGGCCAGCAGGGTGCCAATTATCATGCCAGAGATAAGTGTTCTGACCATTCCCTGGTATGTGATGGATTAGCCCTCTAGCTAATGGCCTTAGTTTTAAAATTTTCCTCCATCCCCAAGAAGCATCAGAAGGAATATTAATAGACCAAAAGCTTCTGCCCTTAAGTAAGTTTTCCTGGACCCAAGCAACCCAAACAGAACCTGCCTTTGAGAATAACAGCCATATAAACTTTAAAATGCAAGCTTGATTCCACTGAACTAAGTTCCGGAGTCATAGACCCCCCTCCTGTTTTGGAGTACAGACATGCAACCAGCTCACCTTAGCCCCTCTAGCACTACAAGTTTCATTATTCCAAAGAAAAGCACCACATATCTTTTCCACTTCTTTAATAATCCCTTTAGGCAGTATGAAAACAGAACACCAAAAATTGGTGACGCCTTGAATTACCGAGGAGATTAGTTGTAATCTACCAGCAAAGGAGAGATGTTTAGCAGCCCAGGAGGACATTCTCTCAGTGATTTTAGAGACTAAAGGCCTGAGATCCTTCTTTGCAAGCTTCCCCGTGATCAATGGTACTCCTAAATATCTTACTAGCAATGTACCAATCTTGAAACCAAATTTTTCAGCAAGCAACTGGGTATGTGATGTAGATAACCCACAACAGAACAATTCTGACTTAGCATAGTTCACTCTCAGGCTAGAAACCTTATAGAAATGCGTCAAGACAGCATCAATTGCATTTAGAGAGGCTAGGCTACCATCTGTGAATATCATGAGATCATCAGCAAAGCATAAGTGTATAAGCTGCACATTTTTGCATTTAGGGTGATAAGCAAATTTTCCTTCCTCAGCGGCTTTGTTCAACATACGAGAAAGGACCTCCATGCATACCACAAAAATGTATTGGGATAAGGGATCCCTTTGCCTAACTCCTTTCTCTCCTGAGAAGTAACCACATAAATTTCCATTGAAAACCACAGAAAATTTAGGAGTAGTCACACAGGCTTTAACCAGATTGACAAATTGACTGGGAATGCCAAGAGAGAGTAGAATTTGGAATATAAAATCCCAAGATACTGAATCAAAGGCTTTCATTAAATCAATTTTCAGAGCACATCTAGGGCTCAAGCATTACTTATGGTAGTGTTTCACAATTTCTTGGGCAAGGAGAACATTTTCTACCATAAGCCTACCCTCCACAAAAGCACACTAACTCCTGCTGATAAAGAGAGGTAGGCATTTCTTGAATCTATTGGCCAAGATTTTTGTAATAAACTTGTAAAACAGATTACAACAGGCAATGGATCTGAATTCTGTCATTTTTGTTGGATTCTGGATCTTTGGCACCAAGGAAATGATGGTGGAGTTAACCTCCTTTAGCAATTGACCATAGAAGAAAAATTCTTTAATAGCTTTGACAACTAAGTCACCCACAATAGACCAGGCAGCTTTATAAAATTCTGCTGTAAAACCATCTGGGCCAGGAGACCTATTTCCAGGACTTGAGAAAACCACAACCTTACTCTCTTCCTCTATAACAGGATGGATGAGAGAGTTTGCCATATCTACAGGTAGTTGAAAATTGAACAGATCTTTAAGCCAAGAATTGCTGGCCTTAGTACAGTTCGAATCTACAGTTCCAAAAAGCTCTTGATAAAATCCGACTGCCTCATTCTCCATGCTAAAAACTGTGGTAAGCCTTTTATTGTCTTTTGTATAGAGCTCCTTGATTACACTTTTCCCCCTCCTGACTTTGACTACCTTATAAAAATAGGTGGTATTGCTATCACCCTCTTGCAACCATTTTATTCGTGATTTTTGCCTGTAGAATGATTCCTCAGCCAATTGTAGAGTCGCAACTTTTTGAACCTAATCATGCTCAACCTGAACCATTTCTGCAGAAGGATTAGCTAATAAATCTACTTGAATCAGATGCAATTTTTGCCTTTCCTGCTGTAGTTTATTTGAGAGATCAACATAGTGTTCAGCATTTAATTTCTTGAGGGCAGGTTTTAGAGCCTTTAGCTTTTTGCAAAGTTGGAACATATAGCAACCTTGCACTTGAGTTGTTTCTCAGACTTGCATCACTATGTCCAAAAACTTCTCATTCTTGATCCAGAAGTTGAAGAATTTAAATGGCCTCCTTCGATTGTTAACTTCAGCGGCTTGGATACCTACCAAACCTGCACAATGGTCTGAGTAGCCAGGGGGCAAAAATTCTGCATTAGTGCCTGGAAATAAGTCAAACCAAACATCGTTGACCATTAAGCGATCCAACTTTTTAGTAATGGGACCATCCTCCCTATTGTTGCACCAGGTGATATAAAAACCCGAGGAAGGAATGTCATGGAGCTCAGCAGCATTAAGCTTATCATGAAAAGAAAGAGATTCTTTTGAGATGCTTGCTCCATCTGATCTTTTTGAGGGAGATCTTATGTCATTGAAATCCCCTCCCACTAGCCATGGAACAGCAGGTAGTGCCTGGCTAAAAAGAATTAATTCATCCCATAATGTCTGTCTAACAGCATCCGAGTAAGGATTAGCATAAATGGCACTCAAGAAAAAATATTGGCTAGACAAAGAATTATAAACATGGCAATGAATGGCTTGGCAGCTCATGGAAGAGACAGTGATGTGAATATGATTCTTGTGAAGAATCCAAATTCTACCAATTCTGGAATGCTCATAGTTGTGGAGCATAGACCAGGATGGTAACAAGAAACTGGAAATTGCCGTGTGTTTAGCTTGCTGAACTCTAGTCTCCAATAAACAAACTATATCAACATGATACTGGGAAAAATATTTTTTGAGCTCTCTTTGCTTACTGAGCATATTAATGCCCCTGACATTCAAGAACAGAATTTTCATTTGGGCTGAGAAGAGGATACCTCACTTGAGGAATTTGACTTCTTCTTTTGTTGCCTCTGCCTTGGTAACAATGCCTTAACCACTAAACTACTTAAATTATTAATGATTCAAATTTGAATTTTAAGTTCAATAATTAATGAAAATCAAAATTTTTAAATACATTAAATTAATGTTAAGTATGATGATATGCTTTTAAGATCATTAAAGAAAGATTAGTTACGAGATGCACAAAAATTAATTCAATAACATTTTAATCATAAACATAAAAAAAAAAAAACAAGTATTTACAATCAAAACAATATATATAATGACACATAATAATATTATTATTTAATATATATTCACAATATTGTTATTATAGTCTAACATTATAATTATAATAATATTTATAATAAGATCATTTTAGAAATAAGAGAGTAAAATACTTAATGAATAATAAAAAAATCCAAATTGAAAAATAATTTTTCCATAAAATTATAACAGGGTTCCAAAGCAATTAGCAAATAAAGTTTATAAAATAACAAATTCGTACAAAAATGTTTGACTGGTTTTCATATACGTTAATTTCTCTGCTAATCATCACCTCAACATCGGCCTTTGTTTACAGAAAAAGAAAGGGAATGAAAGCTTAGTCTCCAAAATAATCACTTCATCTTAATTAAACTATATATTATCCGCACCATCCAACAGTTTTGTTTGTTCTGAAACCAGTTTCAGAAGACTCTGGTTCTGATTGAGGTGGAGGTCTGGGTTGTCGTGGTTTGGCAGGGTCGACAAAAATAACCCACCCGTCCAAGTACTTGGCATTCATTCCTTCTCTTGCCTTCTCTGCTTCCTCGATGGTCATATATGTAACGAAACCAAACCCCTTTGATCTTCCAGTGGCCCTGTCTGTTACAATTTTGGCTGAAGGATCATCGAGTAAATAATGCATCAGGTAGAAAGCAATGCAAAGAATGGTACAACCAGTAAAAAGGAAAATGCTGAAAAAGGATGGAAAAATTGCATGAGGAAAGGGAGGGGAAATAGAATCAACCTTCAACAAGCTGGCCATAGTGGGAAAATGCCTCTTTGAACTTTTCATCTGTTGTAAGTCTCGAGAGCCCTATTCAAAACAAAAGGGAGAAGAATTGCTTATAATTCGAAAGGGATCCTCCATTTAATAAGACAACCAACTACATTTATTAAAGCCAAGGAAAAATCTATGGGACATTTTATGCTTTCCCTCCTCCAGGGAGAGTAACATTGCTGTAGAGAGAATGAGAAATTCAGAGTAAAAAGTCAAGTGATCAGACATGTATATGATAAAAACCAATTATAAGGTGTAATAGTCAAATATGAGGCAGCGGCGAATCATAACATCTTTGAAAGATCAATGTCAAGCTAGTAAGGTAAGTAATGACAGGATAATTAAGAACTAACTACTAAGCTCAGACCAGATACTGTTCTCCCCCTCCCGGTATCATACTACCAATTATATCATATGCCCCAAATCCTCAAAGGGACAGATTTCTCTTCCTTGTTTTACAATAAGAGATGGTAAGCAAAGTCGCCCCAAAATACTCCAGTAAATATAAAAGAGGCTGCAAAACTCCAGAGCAACCAAATGAAGTGCCTGGAGGAACCCTAGTGGGCACCAAGCATACCCTCTTGAGGTTCAGTTATTTATTGATTTCTCTCAGACTTGCCACCTGACTTTTAAAATCATTTTTTCCTCCTCTAACCCATAATGATGACTAGGTTCAATATTATGGACTATGGCCTAGGAATCTTCTCCTTTGAACTCTTATGAAACATGGAAATGATAAATAGACCAGGAATCTTTTCCTCTTGAACTATTATGAAACCTGAAAATGATCTAAACAAAATATAAGGCTGTGCTCCACAAATCCCATCTTACAGCATTCACGCTGCTTATTTCTAACATCATTCGTTCTTCACCCTACCAGCATAGCAACTAGGCAGCTCAACATTATCTAGTGGGAATCTCTTCCACTCAAGCCATAATATAACCTTAAAACTGACAAAATAAAATGAAGAGGTTGCCTGTCCCATGACAAAAGGCGCAATGTAAATGTATTTCAGTAACAATAATTCCATAACCCATTGATGCATCTAGAAAGCTATTCCAGTAGATGTTACTGTCACATGAACATGTGAGAGTTACATGATTACATGATGCCTAGTGATAACAACCACAAAAAATTATCTGAACAAAGAAATTAGAGGTTCCTAAAAAATTAAAAAAAAAAAAAACGAAAGAAAGAAATCAGAGGTCAAATCCTTTCCATTTTATAACATGCTTCATTACACACCAATTCAATCAAATATCCATAGTAATCCTATTCGCCAAAAAAAATTCAAAGTAATCCTAGCTGCTTTTGCAATAAATATGGCCACCTTCTCAGGTTGGGATAGGCAAAACACTTGCAAATGTTACTGCAGGGTATAGTAAAATACCACCATCGAAAATGCTACCTAGTTTGGGACATAGCATGTAAAAGTCTCAGTAGTACAATACCATAGTTCCAGGTTCAACCCAACTTTCTAATACCCTAACCTCAACTAGAAACATAAGTATGTGATACAATTAATTCAGCATCTGAAAAGAAAGAATATGATAAATTTCCTAAGCTAAGAAAACAAAAACATCTATTTTTTCTCAAAAATTTATACATTCATTCATTAAACCAGGCGGTGATATTGGAAACATTCAAACAACACACTTGCTCGAAATAATCAGATTGACGACGAAACTACAGCTTAGCTCTGATCAAGATCAATCCTACCAATTTACGCATCAGAATAAACCAGAAAGAGGAGAAATCGCAAATCAAACTAAACAAGAAGAAGACCATTTTTTGTAAAAATCAAACTAAATGAAGAAGAAAGAAACATAAACTGCATCTGATTTTGGCAGAGATGAGAGAGAATACCGCTAACGAAGAGCTTCGGGGAAGTGAGTGTGGAATTGAAACGAATCGAAGCATACTGGGAGTGAAGCGTGCCGGAACCAATTAGCAGGCGTCGGAAACCGGAAGCTAAAGCCATCGGAGGGGAAGTTTGGGAACTGTATGAAAAATGAGGGTTTTAGGGTTTAAAAAGAAATGCAATTTTCTGATCCAAATTAAAGGTGGGCGTAAGATGTCCGTTTATCGGCGCCCATCTAGGCATCTACTTGGGAAGCTTCCAGATACCGGGCTGGCGCGAGTAACATTGGGGTGTTTGGGCTCAAAGAAGGTTAGGCCTCATGGCCAATGCCTGTTTCTTCGGTTGGGTTCTAAAAATATTGTTGCAAATTATTTTTGGTTTTTTTTTTTTTTT